AATAAAACTTATAAATAAATTGGTTGCACGTTGGCAAAATAGCATAAGACTAAATGCAAAATACCACTTCACTCCTTTTTCGTTTTACCGCCTTTTTAAACAGCTTTTTGTCAAACAATTAGACTGGTAAAAAACATCACAGACCAAATACACTCAATCAAAAGTCGAAAATATTGTGGAATGTAGTACCACACAGGAAGATAAGGGGGTCTGAGAAGAAATTGTGGTATTAGTCCGGCAGAACTATGGCTGAACCTGGAAATTGTATACAAAGTTTTTTTATGATTGATTTTAGAAGCCTAGGGTGTCCTCGCTCAGAATCTGCCAGGTGAACCTCGGTCACCCGTGAGCGTTTTGGGAAATTCAAGATGGCGTCGAAGACGGCCGCCACATCAAATAATCGCCTATGGCTCCCATAGTATTTATTCTAGGATGATAATTTTGGTGTCTAACTGTATGTTTCTGGGGCCATGGAATACACTGAAATCAATTATTATGTGGGGTGATTAAATAATAGTAGAATCAAACATGCCAGACAATATGGCCTTTTAACTAGTTAGCGGCGGTTGGGGGCGATTATTTCACCGAACCAAACTAGAGACAAATTATATCCAATTTAATACTTTAGTCGTGTTTCTGGCTGCAACCTATGACAGCACAAGCGCAAAATATTGTATATTCTAAGCCATCCCTAGTGCAGCTACAAGCACACGTACTACATTAGCTGTCACTCTTGCATCCACATCTGATGAGCCACGTGGAAGACTCCGAAGCAAGTTTACTGGTTGTAATGTTTTCAATTTAGTGTCCTTCTCCCAGCAATACAGTTCCCGGTCATATTCCGGCGAATTCCGATCTTCCAGTGAACGCTACTCAATAGCTTTGCGATGTCATATTTTTATGTTCGCTACAAATGCATTATTCGTTGGAGCTAGACTACATGGTTTAGGTGGGGATGGTGTCGATACATTTCCAGTTGACAAATTGACAAAAAGTCTGAAAAATGGGTGCCTGTGCACGTATAGGGCATATTCAAGAGTGCCTTTTCTTTCACATTGACAATATTTGAACTCAAATGTTTTCAACTATATTTATAGGTTTATTGACCCTATAACAGAAATAGTTGATTTCTTTATGTAATATTTAGTCTTTGAATTAATAAGGTTGCTTCTTTGTCAAAATTATCTCATAACCGTAATCATCTAGACCGAATCGACGGCTGACGCTGTTTATAAGCACGTCCAATTTGCTGTAGTAGATGTAGTAGATGTATTGTACTTGTGGCAGATTACCGGATGATGTTTAAGCATGAACTCTAGCTGTAATTATTATTAAGTTTTTGCATGTTTGTGACGCCAAACCTTTAACGCGCACGAAACCAGAAAATTGGCGATAATTCTTTCAATATTGAATCAATTTGCGATTCCAGATTTTACCATAACTTCGGTGTGGACCACGACATTGCTTTTCGTCAAATTCGCGAAACTGTTCTTTTTCCATTTCGCGTAGATCTCAGAAACTGAAAGAAGTTCTGAATACTGATGTTTTTCCATGTACGTTGTTCACAGTTAACACTTGTAAGTATTGCTAAAGTTGTGAGCAGCTCGGAAATGATGTAAATCTTTAACGTGCACGAAGACTCTGTAGAGACTTTAATCGGTATTCTTGTTTATGAAATCTTTGAATAACAGTCAGTCAGAAATTCAGTGTACGAAAAAAAGTGACTGAGAATTATCAACGTATAAAGCATACATATATAGAGAGCTTTTTTTTTCAAGGTGACAATTGTTGAACTAAGCGTGTTTTACTGTTAACCAAAATATGGGGCCGGTGATTCTAGAGTGAACATACTCTACATGACGAGATCACTTTACACCAATGAATAAAAAGCGCTCCGCTGCAGCTATTTATAAACGAAAAATATAGAAAAGAAAAACTGATGTTGAGTGCTAAAGACCATGGAAAATTATTTCATTTCTAATTACACTTTGAGTTTCAACCTAAGCTGGGGATCACGTGGCTAAGTGGGTAAGACGCTGGCTCGCTAGCCTGTAGGTCGGGTGTTCAATCCCCGCATTGGCCGAGAAAGTTCATCTAGATTTTCCGGCAAGGTTCGCCCTTGTCAGTGATGCAGAACGGAGGGCCTAACAAGGACAGCTGTCTAGTCCGTCGGATGAGACGAAAAAACCGAGGTCCCGTGTATACATTGGAATGCACGTAAAAGATCCCTTGGCAGTTGGAATTAGATTAAGTGTAGGCGATACTGCCGCTACCCGGGCAAAATTTCCCTCATAGCACACTGTATGACGTATGCCTGTCTTCATTAGCCCAGCATAGGAGCAGAACAGTAGGATGTTAAACCCCATTTCATTTCATTTCAACCTAAACTCTTATTAGGACTACAATTTTAACTTAATATCTATTACGATTCCAGTTTTGACCATAACTTCGGTGTGTCTTGATTACGACATTGAGTTTTAATGTCAACTCTAATTACGCTCTACTTCGATTTCGACGTAAACTCACATTACGCACAAAAAGGTTTAGACTTTGATCATTAAAGTGATATACCTTTCGATTCCGGTTTCGACCGCGACTTTTCGGCGTAGACTCTAATTGCGTCTTTGGTATCGAGCTTAACCTCGATTTCAAAATGTTGTCGAGAATACTATCTTGGGCTCACCGTGACGTTTTCGGTGTGGTGAAAGCCTTCAGTACTCCGTTGGAGTTGTAGTTATATTTGTATTAACATAGTGTAACCTATGATAAACAGTATATCTTATTACTACACACGATTCTACCTTTGATGTACAGTATATCATCATTGTATTAACACCATTCAACCTATGATGTACAATTTGATGTACAATAGTATTCACACCATTCATCATAACTATTCAAAAAAAGTAGGGGATATTTGATTTTGGGGGCATAATACTAAAATATGCAAATGACTACGAAAAAAGTCACTATAGAACCTAACAGAAGAAACATTTCCAGTTAAATGTGACGCCCAAACGCACCAATAGCTACCGCATGAAATGCAGGTGATGCTTGGGATCATCATGGGGGTCCAACCCAAGATTTGCACGACTCTGACTTTGAATGTTACAGTCATTGTGGCATTGAATTCCAGGGTGGAAACATAAGTTTAATTGTTTTAGTGACCAGAAAACAAATTTTGATATGCGTCGGCTTACCCAAAATGAAAGGTTACGTGCCCTTGGCATGCTACAGATCGGCACAACACAGGCGGTTGTGGCGCGGACGATGAATGTTTCTCAGTCTGTCATAAGCAGGCTATGGTCCAGATACCGTGATACACAATCTGTACAGGACAGACCACGCTCAGGTCGACCAAGGGCGACAACTCAAGCCCAGGATCGATTTATCCGTACCTTGGCCTTGAGAAATCGTGTCATCACAGCAAATCAGATCAGCGCTCGTCTTCAAACAGACACTGGTGTGAGAGTGAGTGGCCAGACGATTCGGAATCGACTGCATAGGGGTCACCTTCGCGCCCGACGTCCTCGCGTGATCCCTTGTTTGAGAGATCATCACATTCAGGCAAGACGTCGTTGGTGTAGGGATCGTCAAAACCGGGATAATCGACGCTGGAGCAATGTGATGTTTTCAGATGAGTCAAGGTTCACTGTTGATTTTTTGGACAGACGTAGGAGGGTGTGGCGTCGTCGAAACGAGCGCTTCCAAGACGTTAACGTCATCAGACATGATCGATTTGGGGGTGGTTCTGTTATGGTGTGGGGAGGCATCACTGTTGCTGGAAGAACGGCTTTACATGTTGTTGCAGGGCGTGTTACAGGCCAGTACTACCGGGACAACATCTTGGCAGTCCATGTTGTGCCGTTCGCACGACGTCATGGCCGCCGTTTCATCTTCCAGGATGACAACGCAAGATGTCACAGGGCCAGGATCGTTACAGGTTACCTCCAACAACAGAACATCACCACATTACCTTGGCCAGCACTGAGTCCCGACCTCTCCCCCATCGAGCATGTCTGGGACATGCTTGGACAGAGGTTACGTCAACGTCAACAACGTCCTGCCAATGTCCAAGAACTTGCTGCTGCGTTGCAACAGGAATGGGACAATCTGGACCAAAATGACCTTAGACGTCTCATTAGGAGTATGCCACGTCGGATCAATGCTTGTTTGGCAAACAGAGGAGGATTTACCCGTTACTGACTTGGTTGTGATGTTGTGGTAACTTTGCTGTTTGACCCCGGGTATCATTTTACCCTTATAATGGTCAGTCTGTGCCTTACTTAGTCTAACGATCATTTGGAATAAATCGATGAATGTGAACTTCATTTCATTTTGTCATTTGTTTCTTCGTCAGTTTCATTAGGTGACTTTAATAACACTTAAAAATCAAATATCCCCTACTTTTTTTGAATAGTATATGATGTATAGTATATAATCCTACACACCATTCAAACTTCAAAATTCTACACGGAAGTAATAATTAGCAACCACGTGAATCAGTCTTACTCTTAACTGGTTATCAAATTGGCCATAATGGATCACTATATGCACTGTCCACATAAACTGGGAAGTTAATTGAATGTGATATATAAATAAAAAACGGAAACTTGTCATACAATTTACACCATGAGAACTTTCTTGTTATATACCAACCGTTAAAGTAGAACACCCATCTTAGAAGATATTGATTATAATATCACATAATATGTCAATCGGTGGAGACCCAGAATGTGGGAGCCGAGGTGGTGTGTAGTCCCTCAAAGATATTTTAGTTTGCTATGCTGCCTTGCCATAGGCATACGGACCTTGTGCAACTGCACCCCCTCTCCCCTCCCAAGTGCGTGTGCAGGACAAATGAACCTTTCCCATGACGTTTTGCAGATCTTGTATTCAGATATATGAATATAACTTTATTGGTGCACGCCTTTAATAATTAATACAGAACATTATACAATCACGTGACTTTAGATTAAAATCACATTGAGAAAGCAGCAGCATAAACGAATGGACAAAGACGAACATTTATTGGAGTTATAATTATGTTAAATAGTTGCCCAATTTTTTGCCAAAGACACCTCTAAGGACTGCTGCACAGAACATTAAAAACTACACAAAAACATTTACTGACATTTGGTAAGTTTTATATTTCATTCAGGAAACTATATAGTATTACGCCAAAATTAAAGTATTTTTTGTAAAAATTTAAATTTCTGCTTGCATACCAAAATATGTTTCTAAAAAATTAAAACTTTGATGCCGTCTTCTTTTTTTTAATATTTTGATACCACAGAATGTTTAGAGTTTGCATTAATTAAAAGATAAGTGATTGAACTGACTGAAGCCTAATGCAGTCAAATTGAATTAACCAAAAGATGTTACTAAAAAAAAGAATAGTTAAATTAAACTAAAAAGTGGTTGAGTGTGACGGTCGCAGCAAAGGGACCAAGACTTTCTGGCGGCGTTTTCAATAGGGTTTAGCAGTTGCCGCGGGTAGTGCGAAACCGTGGAGAGTAAACCAAGTGGATCCGTTGTAAGACTCACCCGACGATTTTTACGATTTTGATCCTGTTTTGCTGTTAATAGTAGTTACAGTTCTATTCCCAATCTGTTTCACAGAGAATTACGAGTCTTCTCCAATATCTCTGTAAAAGATGACTGCCTTTAACACGTGCCGTAACAGCACGCGGCGTCAATCATTGGCTGAATGGCGCGTGCATTGTTTACATAAGACGTTACTGCTTCGTGCAGAATGCTGCCTTCTAGTCATTTTAATACCCATTTACACTAAATAGGAAATAATTTTGACCTACAAATACGTCAAACGTCTTTATTTATTTTTCTAATACATCAAAAAAATGTTTTAGAATTTAATTTGTCGGTGGAAAAAAGTTAATATTTGAGACTCATTAAGTCGCATTGATGTCATCCTTATCAGTTGGGGATCACGTGGCTAAGTGGGTAAGACGCTGGCTTGTTAGCCTGGGGGACGGGTGCTCGATCCCTGCATTGGCCGAGAAAGTTCATCCAGATTTTCCGGCGTGATTTCTCCTTGTCAGTGATGCAGGACGGAGGGCCTGACAAGGACAGCTGTCTAGTCGTTCGGATGGGACGAAAAACCGAGGTCCCGTGTACATATTGGCGTGCACGTAAAATATCCCTTGGCAGTTAGAATTCGATATAAGAGTAGGCCATAGCGGCGCTGCCCGGGCAAAATTTCCCTCATAGCACCCTGTATGGCGTATGCCCGTCTTCATTAGTCCAGTATAGGAGCAGAACAGTAGGACGTTATACCCCATTTCATTTCATTTTCCTTATCAGTGATTGTAGCGGCCTAGCGAATGTTCACTGCTGATCAGTGTGTTCTATTCCTTGTTATAATTAGAAGCATATTTGTGGGGTCTAGGGCGAAAGATCAAATTATCTTACCGTACTACTGATTATGACGGACATAAGTCATGCAAAGTGGGAAGCGTCTTAAGGGGGATAAGTGCCCTAGAATATTTTGCAGTTTTTAAAAAATCGATTTAATTCTATTTCCCACTAACAATTCATATTTCATTGGCGCCCCCTGGAAAGCTTTCTGAGAAACCATATATTTATCATTCGATGATCAATAAAAGTTTGGTGTCTCCATCGAGTCAGTATGGCATTAGAACCCTAATTCACATCGATGTACAGCGATTATGGGCGTACAGTATGTTGCCCACACTGATCAGGGGTGAATATTCGTTTGGTCGCTACAATCACTGATAAGGATGACATCAATGCGACTTAATGAGTCACAAATATTAACTTTTTTCCACCGACAAATTAAATTTTAAAACATTTTTGGGATGTATTAGAAAAAATAAATAAAGACGTTTGACGTATTTGCTATGGAAGACCAAATGGGACAATATTCATGATTCTTGTTTCTACATTCCAGTTTGAACATTTTTAGACACGAACGCAACATTCTAAACTAATGATTCTTGTTTCTACATTCTTATGTCAACATTTCATGCACAAAATCAACATTTTAAACAAAAGATTGACTTTATGTTTCATTTTCGGCGTATTATCGGTAACTTTTATATATCATTAAATATTAAAATTAAAAAATAATTTCTTAATTTTACACGACAAAGAAATCAATTCATTGGTTTCTGAAAGTATTTTAAAAAAAATCTGGAATTTGAACTCTTATGAAAATTTTTTCTACGTTTCAAAAAGTCTTGAAGTTAAAATCTCGAAATGAAAATGTCCAGAAAAATATAATGAATTATCAACATTATTACACCAGAGGGCGTTAGCGTATGTGTACACCTTTGATACAGACTATAGATTAGAAATCAAAAGTAGACTTTTCCACGAGTGGAAGTGGGCCCCTGTTGTGTTTACAGTAATTAACTGCATGAAACAGAAATTAAGCTCGAGATATAATAACAATACAAATAACTTCTATAATTTAAACAGCTAGAAAAATTAGGACAAAGGCCTTTCTTACATATTCGCTGTTATTTGTTTACTTTTTCATATGTTTACAAATAAGACCTACACGTGTTTCGAATATGGCAAAAATGGATGATAATGCTGTGTTTTAAATGGAATCTATTCACTGTTATTTATTTACTTTTTCATATTAACTATAACTATAGGATAGTGTTTGTAAATTAGACCTACGCGTGTTTCGAATGTGGCAAAAATGGATGATACTGTTGTGTTTCAAATGAAATCTATTATGAACGAAAGATTAAGCCAAGTTATTCATGCCATAAATAACTTTCGGTGCGATGATTATGGTTTAATTCCAGTTGTAGAAAATTTGATGGATATGATTAGTCGATTTTCATCTTTATCTTTGACCGCAGAGGAAACAAAATATATGAATGACATTATATTTCATTTAAATTCAGCTGTGAAACACAACATTATTAGTAAGCAGAAATTCGCCCGTCTATCCGTTATCACTCGTCACATCAGTCAGTTATATAGAGAGATGACTCGTGTTTCCCTTTGGCGTTCGTCACTTCCGATTCAGGAAACCTGTATTACTCAGCTATCGTAGCAATGATCTCTGTGTTAAAATTATATTTGGAATGTGTTTAACCAGCTCTAATGACTGGCACCAATATTGTCCTTTAAAATGACTAAAATGCAGCATTCTGCCCGAAGCAGTAACGTCTTATGTAAACAATGCACGCGCCATTCAGCCGATGATTGACGCCTCGTGCTGTGACGACACGTGTTAAAGGCAGTAATCTTTTACAGAGATATTAGAAGACTCGTAATTCTCTGTGAAACAGATTGTATGTTGCAATGCATCAATACCGTGCAATCAGTTTTTAGTAATAATCATGCTAAGATTAATCGGAATGATAAGCAATATGATTGGTCAATGCTTTATAAATAAGGCCTTTTGTGATACAATGTTTGTAATTAAAGTAGTATGTACAAACTTGGTGCAGCGGTTGGTGTCTTGACGGGGTTCATCACGCATACTCAACTAGAATCAATAGGTAAGCGTTTTCCGAAACACTGAGAAATCAAATTGCTTATCTCTGCTTTATAGCCCAACAAGGACACAAACAGTGTACGTAATAGGTTCTTAAGATGGGTGTCTTGAACAACACTTAATTAGAATGAGAGTAAACGTTTTCCAAAACATTGGGAAATTAAATTGCTCATTAGACCGAGTCAAGTCCTTCACCCACTGAACATTCACCCACCAAAAAATAAACATTAAACTAATTTATGGGGTCATCCTTTTATTTTGAGATTAAGACAGAAGACACCAGCGTAACTGTTGTCATAATCACAAGAATGATATCCAAGATGACAGCACTGGTAGTGGTCTGTGTGACAATTTCATCAATATTTGTATTGACTACACAAGGTAAGTATTAGTCTAGCAAAACACACTGTAGAATTTCTAGTGTAATAAAGTGCAATAATCATTTTTATTATGAAATGTTAACTAGTATATATTATTTGTACCCATTTTTATGAAATATGCAGTCCATGGTGTGAGTAGCAAATAATTTAAAACTCCCAGAATTTGCAGCTTACTTGTTTAAACTTGTGTCTTTTTACATATTCGTTCAGCTTAAGAGAGAGAGAGAGAGAGAGAGAGAGATGGGGTTTAACGTCCACTCGACACAAACTAGGTCATTTCGGGACTAACATATGGTTCAATTTTATTTCAATTATTCGCTTGCGCGTAGGGGTCTTTAGCAGTGGGAGGATACCGGGGGACCCGGAGAAAACCCACGAGGTTGGACAGGCGACTCTACTCCTTGTCACGTACAACCGGGGATTCGAAACCACGCCAGTTGACTCAATGACAGGCCGTATGATACAGCACGCACGTGCTAACGATTCGGCCATCCACCCCCCCCCCCCCCCGTTCAGCTTAAGATGTCAACTTTCAACATAGCGTCAAGTTAATGTTTCTAATTATCTAGAATGTATGGTAAGTTTTTTCGGCGGACTAGCATCCAGTTTATCTTTATAAACTGAGGGATATAAGCCATATTTTAAGTCATATAATGTAGGGACTGACATCAATATGAGGTACTCCAAGATCATAAAATCTGACTTTACCCCTTTTGTTTTAGAAGAGAAAAACCCTATAACAGTTAATGCTTCTTTCGGTCATATGTTAAATTCAACGATACTTTTAACTGTGCTTCCCTTACCTTCATGCATGGGGGCCCTATTCATACGGATTACCATTTATAACCTACAAATTTTAATAAGGCTTCCACGATCATATATGTCTGGAATATAGATATTGCACGCGCACCATACAACAAATACTAACAGCTTTAATTTGAAAGATACATCATCAAATCACACAGTTTTTACGCGGGAAAGTATCTTTAACTCTTTGTGGGTGAACGGAACATTTAAAATTAATTTAGCTTTTTGTTGGAGTACTTGATGATGTACGTCCCTAACTGATGGTCATTTTTAGAATAATAAAATGTGTGTGTATTCAGCTATATATAATCCGAATTAGTTAATTTAAACAGTCTAAATTATTATAAAGAAATATTAAACTGATAAAATTTGTCAGATAATAATTGATACTATTTATTTTGCAGGTGAAATAACTATAACCAGCGACCCGGAGACAATAGTATACAACAACTATTTTATATTAACGTGTCATATTGGTACCATAACTGATGAAGTTAAATGGATCTATAAAGGAATAACTATTTTCTCATGTACATCACCATATCGTGCTGGTCTGTGTTTTATACATACAACATCACCTTATCGTCTTTCTAAATTTGACGTCAATACAGCATCTGGTATAACCACAGTAAGGATATATTCTCGCAAGAACCAGTTAGAAGGGTTGTGGACATGTAAACACGGTAGAGACAGCTCTACGTACAATGTTAACCCTATTGATCCTGTTAACGGCAAGATTATTTTATAATATGACTATATTTAAATTAGAATTGACTATACAATATGACTATGTTTAAATTAGAATTGACTATATGAAATTTGCATTTGGAATTAGAGTCAATATGAATAGATTCAGAATCCGACAGATAATGTAATCAGTACATCCTTTACACAACAATTAAAAAAAAAGGAAAAAGATAAACAGGAAAAATTATTCATGATGGCTACGTTCATCCTTACACTATGTCCGTCTCTTAAATTTCGACTTTACTGGTTACCACAATCACTCATGCCTTTTAAATTGCTGCGAAAATTTGGGACATGTATATTTAGTTGCTATATTGTAAACCGTGTCCGTTGAACCACGAGGAATCGAGAAGCCTGGGTGGTGACCTACATCTTGTTTCCCAAACGAAATAAAATGAGTTTTAACGTTCTATGTATCTGCACCATCCGAGATAAGGAAATGAAATGAAATGAAATTGGGTTTTACTATTCTGCTCTGACTGGGTTAATGAAGACGGGTATACGCCATACAGTCTGCTATGGGGGGAATGTTGCTAGGAAAGCTTCGCTTCGGCTCCAAAACACTAGATTTTGCAGATATCATGATATATATAAGAGAAAGAAAAGCCGAATACCTCCAGAATCTTAGTGTTATTTTGTACCAAATGTAATGAGCGAGATGTCATAAATTTGTGTTTGCAATAACTATGCGAGACCCCATACAGTCTCACTTTAACCTATCGGTGGTTCTCGTCATTACGCTTTCGGATCACAGCCGCCTGTAACGTGGAAAATATTTTTAAAATAACATTAGTCCTAAGCTATATGACTAAGTGTAATGTCGAAAGTCTGTTGCGGCCATGTGGTCTGAATCCGATTTCTAATTCTAGGGCAAATAACTCGCCTGAAACCGATTCTCTTTCAGTCGATATAATGATACCAAGGTGAGAAACAGTTGGAATTAAATAATTGAGAAACGGATTGGAATTAAATAATTGGGATCAAAGTTCACTACTCAAGATTCCGTCGAGCAATGGCAATACTCATATATTTTCGCTAGGTAGACAATCAAGTCTAAGATGACGTTTCAATGTTATCCACGTGACCTTCTTCTGCCCCCATAAATGTCATCGAGCCCATACGCCGATGATCAGCCATTTAAGTTAGGCTATAGCCCTTGTATCTGTTGTTTGGTCCTTTATTTTCGCAATCTAAAGGGGAAATAAATAAAAATAATAATCTATAAATATCACTCATCAAACAATTGAAAATACAGATAATAGGCTGCCAGCTTCGAATTCTCAAATAAAAGATTTCCAAATTGCCGTATAACAAACACTTTGAAACACTCGCGAAATGGAAGGAGGTATGAGCTACTACAATAATCATCTCACTTTAAATGTCTAGACGTATTATATCCGATTGTTACGAGTATAAAATAAATGTAGGAATGAGTATATTATTTACGTATACATGATTAGATTGTTCTATACAATGCAAGGGTACGCTCAAGAGATGTGTAGATCTATTTAGAATATGGTTTGTTTTTATATTTCAGGAAGAGCTTATATTACTAGTTTTACATCAAGTCCTAGTAGTAGAAATGTAAATGTGAGTACAGCTATCACATTGACATGTATTGTGCGCGGTACTACATTGTTACCTGTAAATGTTTCCATATCTAGTGTTTCTAGAGAAGGGAATCTAACATACGTCACCAGCTCTTCAAGAAGAAAATTCACTGCATCAACAAAGATACAATGTACCGATTACATGTTTCTCTGTACCGCATACAATGGTTATATTGAAGTTTATACCCACAAGCTGTCTATCAATTTAAAGTGTGAGTATTATAAATACATGTTGTACTAAATTATGCAAATAATGTAGTATATGTACTTTAGTAATAAAAGTTAAACATGCAGAAAACTATTTCGGTTGGTACAAAAATGTTCTTGTCGTCGCTCCTGTCCATTTCTCGTAAATATACCCTTCGTTTATCTCTAGGAAAGCTCGCCGGCCATTTTGATATCGGCAGCATTTCATTCTAACAAATCCTACCAATCAGTAGCCATATTATACTTTTATTTAAAATATACTGTTCATTAAAAATATTTTATTTAATATTATTTTTTATTACATTATATTAAACCGACGTTGAAAAATCAGTAATTGTATCTTTTTAGAATGACAATTTCACCCCCACCCCGACCCCGACCCACCCTGCCACACCCCATTAAAGATGCGTCATTTAAGAGAAGATCGTTTGTCTGGCTTCATTGTTATTATATAATTTTTTAAACATTTATTAACACGACAAGCCCTTAATCAACTTAGAACACCAAGACCATTTAAAAGTTTAATAATAAAAAAGCTAACAAACACTATACGCTACATTTTGTCACAACTTCAAACACTCATAATGTTGCACAGAATAGGGTAATTTGACTACAAATTTTGTTGTATTCATTCTATTATCTATTTTTGAATACTATAAAAAGATCGGTCATCTCTTTATCTAAATCGTATATAATGCATCTTTAATTTATAATTGAAATCGAATATTCTTGTTGAACGTGATCGTCATTAGAAAATATTTTCCATCATTGGAACTGCACATAAATAAATATAAAGCGCATCTGGAAAAGCTGTTCGGGCCTTTAGGAATACGTATACGTGAATATTTTAAAAATTAGTTGGGGTTTTTTTTGTTTATTTAGGTTCAGTGACACTACTACTAGACAAAACAAACACAACGGTTAATGCTACTGTTGGATCTGATCCTGTGTTACGCGCGTATTATGATGGATATCCTTTTTCTAGCTTCACCTGGTACAGACGATTATCACAGGTTGAGGTTAAGATGAACGGGTATAGAACAAGTCAGTCATGGTCCTATGATAGTCATAAATACATTTATCTTCAAATCAATAATGTTTCTCTACAAGATGCTGGACAATACAGTGTTCATATTAATGCTACTGGGAAAGGATTTGTTGTTCTATTCACATTAAACGTAAATCCAGTAATGACATCCAACTGGACAGTTGATGCACTACAACATAACTCTACTATTAAAGCTGAAGCAACCACACTGCCGTTCATTACCGCCGCTGGATTGGGTATTGGTATCGCTGTAGGAGTTATAACCACTCTTCTAGTACAGGGCGTGGTTTTGCTAGTTAGTAGAACTTTGAAATCGCGAGGTAAGTAAGATAAATAGTTTAATTCCTAGGTTGTGATTAATCTGACATATGCAGATAGCGTGACGTCCAATCACATTAGTAGTCACAGTGTTTTATATTTAGCCCCATTCTTTCCCATCAATTAACATTTTGTGAAAATCATGTCGGTGTTTTGATACCTGTAGCAGGAAAAAATGGAATCAAATGAATGCTACTTTTCTGCATGCCAATGTGTACGCGGGACCTCGGTGTTTGTCATACCCGAACGACTAGACACTGTTCCTTATCAGGCTTTCTATCCTCACTGACAAGGGAAAATCACGAAGGAAACTTACGAGTTAGTTCCCCAGCCAACAACCACATCCTGGGTTTTAGTGAGCCAGTGCCTTACTCACATGGGGGTTGGATGGCCGAATGGTTAGCACGTGCGTGCTGAATCATAAAGCCTGTCATTTAGTCAACTGGCGTGGTTTCGAATCCCCGGTTGTATGTGACAAGGAGTAGGGTCCTCCCTTTTCCTCCCACTGCTAAAGACCCCTACGCGCATGCGAATTATTGAAATAAAATTAAACCATACGTTAGTCCCGAAATGACCTAGTTTGTGTCGAGTGGACGTTAAACCCCTCTCTCTCTCGCTCTCTATCTCTCTCTCTCTTATTCACAGAGCCTCAGTAGCCCCCGTATATCCGGAAAGAGACCGAATGGATCTTATCTGTTAACAATATGATCAGTTTAAGCTATATCTTATGCTATGCTATAAGTCACAATAAGGAACAGAACAACAATATGAGCAATTAACGATATCCTAAATGATATACATATCTATTTAAAGATTATTGCATCTTAAGTATTAACAATCAATGATATACATATATATTTATAGATTATTGTTATCTCATATTATTTTTTAACAGCCAATGTAGTTGTAGATGTTAAAGACAAAGAAGCAAAATCAACGAGGTTAGTTTTCTATTTCTTTGTACTTGGACGAATATCTGTTTATATCATCGCACAAATAAATTATTTTGATTCATTTGAAGTGATGTTTTACCCAGATTTAATCTGTTTATTTCTACCGCTCGAGAAAAAATATGCTGTTCCAAATAGGTATCAATATATTCCTTGTTTCCGGAAAACTGGATTACTTACTTAGACGTTGTAGAAAATTCTATATAAGCCTGTTCTGTATGTTTGGACATAATGTAAGAATTCTTCGTTTGTCCTGTTCTTTACATTGCTAACCTTCCGCTTTATCTGTATTTATTTCTAGCACCAACAAAGGCCAACATAAAAACAGAACCAAACAATCAGGTAATATATTCATTTGTAATTTTTCCTGTGAAAGGGCGTACATAAACAAAACAAGATGCTACTCACGGTTTCGAGGAAATGTTTCCAACTTACATTGACTTTTTGCTAATTATAACCATTGTAAATTTTAAATTGGAATTTCCCTCATGACATACTGCATGGCGCGTGATAGTCGTCAGAGCAACACGATGGTCCACAAAGTTGATTATGGATTTTTCAGGTTAATAACTGTTTAAAATAATTTAAATAACATTTAAAGCCAACAGAAAGATTTATCTGTTAGATAATGCATCATTATCGATCTTTTAGTTAATGTATTGTTTGACAAGCATGTTATTATTGTTTTTATTGCAGACTATGACAACACTGCATATAATCCATCAGAAGAGGAAATTTATGAAAATCTGGACGACGGACCAAATCAATCTGCTTAAGAGGACTACAACAGATTGATCATTCTAGGTTCGAAATATTCCAGTTGGACCCCCGTCTTAATCAATGCGCAATTTATTATTTTCTCACCGCCTTTCGGAAAATCTGAGGACTATTCAAATAAGTTCGTCTGTGTGTCTCTCGGTCTGTCTGTATATACCACATTTTAAAACACACTAACGTTGCTTGTAATTTAATTATAATGCTCAAACTTGGTATATAATTGTTCATTGCGTGCATATGTTGGCTTAGTTCGACGAGGAACATTTACCGCTGAGGCTAAGCAGAGTGATAAGCAATTTGATTGTCCGATGTTTTATATAAAAGATCAATGTGCAATTAATTTTGAAAAGGCGGAGGAGATCATCTCACCGTTGGCTTGTTTCTATGGTCATGTGTACAAACATTATGCCAAGTAATTAATGATTGTCATCTATTTATTTTGGGATTGAAATGGGGGACATGATATTTTTGTTTGCAGTTTCTTTATTTATAATTAAATTTGATATTATAATTTTTGTTTGCTGTTTGTTTATTTATAATAAATTTGATATAAAAATTTTTGTTTGCCTGCGGTATTCCCAACATAAATGTCATTGTTTAACTGTCTGAAGTGCTGTCAGTGACCGCTTCCATGATCTCTTAAAAGGTGGCGTGTTTTGAGAATTTTTCATTAACCTTTCTGGAATTGTATGAATCCTATTGATATTCAAAGTCACGAATATATTCGACAGAAATTCATTTTGCCACCAAAGTCAAAGTCTTTATTAGGAATTTATTTTCAAAACCACAAAGGATTTAGATAAAGAGCTGATAGTTCCTGCTATAATAGTTCAAAAATAGATAATGATAATCTAAATGCACATATATATTTTATGAAATTTATGGTGATTCCCAGAACCAACGTCAAACTTGACGTTGTCGCCACCACAGACCCCCCCCCCCCCCATCCCCTTCTTAAGTTCCTGAACACGCCCTTGACTATATGCTTTATTATCTATATTTCCATATGTATAGCTATGGTGTTTTACAGTATTTATAGAAAATATTGGGTTATTTTAAGGAAAGCTTTAAAATCATATTTTACATAATGTGAGAGACAGTGATAGGTGACAGATTAAAATCATCATATGACGCCATGTGTGATACAATCGGAGTGTTCCCACTTTGCCGGTAGGCTTTGATGTCAAATTTTGCCGCTAATCCAGAGTTATAATCCTAGAACAATGGTGTTATAAACTATAGTCCATATCTTTTTTATGAATAAAACTGTATTGATTTTAACAAATTTAACTTTTATCAAATAACATTAAATAATTTACACATATAAAAATGTGGTAAGAACATCATTCTTGGGGGGGGGGGGGGGGGTAGAACGTGCGCGCTGTATCATAAAGCCTGTCACTGAGTCAACTGGCGTGGTTTCGAATCCCTGGTTGTACGTGACAAGGATTAGGGTCGCCTGTCCAACCTCGTGAGTTTTCTCCGGGTCCTCCGGTTTCCTCCCACTGCTAAAGACCCCTACGCGCAAGCGAATTATTGAAATAAAATTAAATCATATGTTAGTCCCGAAATGACCTAGTTTGTGTCGAGTGGACGTTAAACCCAATTTCTTTCTCTCTCTCCCTCTAGTTCTTGAGTGACTACTTTTAGTTTTAAGATCAATTAAAGGATTAACAGTCTGCCGGCATAGTGGGACCATACTATTTTTTAATTTAACAAATGCCCAACGGCTGGCATATCTATAGTGGTCAAGTTAGATGATACGTTGACCGCTAGCTGTGTTAACTACAATGTGTTCAGTTGTCACACATCAATTTTCCTGTAACCTGCTATGTGATTATCGTAAGATAATCGTATGTTCTTTTGTTCAGTATCATTAATGAATGTACCATTTAATTATAAATTCTCTTAGGGGTTGGGATGGCCTAGTGGTCTAGATTGTCACGCTTCGACTTCTAGTTGGCCGGTCACCTCTCTGGCTTGCGGCTGTGGTTTCGATCCCAGGTGTGAGCGTATGTGGCTTGGAGAAAGGGGCGCCTTCTCAACCTCGTGGGTTTACTCCGGGTACTCCGGTTTCCTCCCACAGCAAAGACCCCTGCGCGTGCGCTAAGATCATTAAAATGAACTTGTCTGCGATATCACCTTCGGTGGAAGCGGACGTTAAACGCTAAGAACAACAAGGGATATAAAACAGACGAGCTTTGGTTGCTCACCAGAGAAGGGTCTCTCATATACCATTGTATAATAATCTTTTATTTCTGTTAACCCAAAACAATTTTATACATACATAACCAGTCAAAATTACTAATAAGGGCGATAACTCATATTATTATTCCTTATAACTTTGTTGAAAGTTGATCGGTTTGTAAACAGAAAGACCAAGTAGTTTAGGTTTTAATTCACGTACTATTCGAATATACTGAAATATTTAACTTTAAACGTTATAAGTATTTTATTAATTTTTGTATAACCATAGATTTAAATAAATAAATAAAAAGAATATGTTATATAAATATATAATCTGTATCGTCAATAAAACTCACAAATCACCATAGATTTTTCGATTGATTTTATTTTAATCTCCCTCTCTACGACTTTAACTTTAACCACAGGGAGCCATCGTGGCTAAGTTGGTAAGACGCTGGCTCGCCTAGTCGTTCGGATGGGGCGAAAAACAGAGGTCCCGTGTACATATTAACGTGCATTTAAAAGAGTCCGTAGCAGTTGTAATTCGATATAAGAGTAGGGAGCAGCGTCGCTGTTCGGGCAAAATGTCCCTCATAGCACATTGTATGGCCGGAGTATAACAGTGGGGTGTTAAACCCCATTACTATTCATATTATTAACTACAGATTTCAGATCTGAGAAAAGTATTTAAGAGGTTGACCACGGAAATTGTGAGATATGCAAAAGTGAAGTAGTGTACGAAGGATTAAGCAAAAACGTAAACCTATGCCACGTGTGTCCGGTTGAATTATCTGTATTATTGTCATAGTAACTGATTATTATTGGTTAGATAGAAGTCATGCGGTTATGCACGATGGTGGGTGCCTGACGTCCGTATATTGTTTTCACCGGTCTTGTTGTTTATTGTGTTGTAGAGATGTAAACTTTGTTGTAGACTGTTTTGAAAGCTGTCCTGTATTGTCTACATGAGTTGAATCGACAATAAACCAAATTACATGACAACCAGCGTTCGAACTAATGATTACAGAGCGCCCTTCGACTTCGTCATGGCGAGGTACTATCAAGCAACCACATAGATTTGTGAAAACACAAGGACTCGTGAGTAGAGTGAGAATGTTAGAATGTCATGAAGATTTTATTGAATATCTTCCTACTGTCATTTGTGTGCAGTGCAGCAGATGTTACTCTGGATAGAACTAATGAGAATGTTACCAATCGCCCATTCAATGAGTATGACAGAAGAATCGTGCTGATTGTAATTATGGAAGACGATACGGGTCATAATGGCGATACTCCCCCAAACGGGGCCGGTGTTGCTGAAAATGAGAATGAACAACCCCCAATCGAGTAGGTGAGCAACAAGAAAACAATGTAGAACAGAATGACATTGATCAATCGCCAAATAACGTGATTCCTGTAGATAACACAGCTAATCATGAAGCACCGAAAGAAAACCATAAAAATAGCTTTGGTCAAAGTCTTAAAGATAAAATTGAAATTCAGTGCATGTTAGAAACCCTGAAAGATAGAACCAGAATTGAAGAACGGAAACAAGATATAAAAGGAAGAATAGAATTAGAAGCTGCCGAATTAGAATTTCGTCGAGCAACAGAAAAGGCTGATTTTTTACGAAGAAAGTTAGAATTAAAGGCCCAAGAAACTGGTTAGAACGGAAGGAAGAAGAATTAATTTTAAAGTCAAAACTTTAGGCTGCAAGAGAATTGAATCGTCGTTTAAAACAGAAACCAGTTGTTAGCGATTTCATGTTTTCTGAAACTGAAAGAAGCATGACAAGATTAACTCCTATCAAAAACTCTAATTCAGATAATCGTGTGAATGATCAAGAAACATTTCGTATTCCTAGCCAGCCTAATTTCGTGAATGCTACAAGTGACTTTGTAGAACCAGTGAACCCCAGCCCACCCCCTCGTTCTGATCACGCGCAATACACGCCCGTAAATAGGCCTAGTAAGGTGGCGATACTAAATAAGCTGACCGAGAACCAAAGAGAATTCTCCTTGCCTTCAACTGACATTGAGATATTTGATGGAACAGATATTTTGTCATTTAGTACCTTCGTGAAAAACTTTAAGTATGTCATTGAAAGTAAACCCAGCATCATGCCAGAAAATTAGAATATTTGATTAAGTATACCAAAGCTATTAATCCAGCAATGTCCACTCATTGACCCACCAGAGCATGGTTATGATCTCGCCTGGATGTTATTGAAGCGAGAGTATGGACAAACCCCAATATTGGCAGCTGCATACCGAAGTAAGGCTGAAGAGTGGCCCAAGATTAATGTAGGTGATAAACTCGCCATAAGAAAATTGGCTGTGTTCATCCTCAACTGCTGTAATGCGAAAATTGGAACCTAGAAATGAACAGCATGGACAGTTTTGAGTATTAGAAATTACTGGCGTTAAAGTTACCATTGTCCTGGCAACAAAGCTGGATTGATACTGTTGGAAGGTTACGTGAAGTTGATAACCGCTCTCCAACATTGGACGATTTTGAGTCGTTTGTTGGTCATTTGTCCAGAAATGAGAATGACCCACGCGTTGCAGGTCTTGGATACCAACGTCGCGCCGCGCCAAGTATGTCATTGAAAGTAAACCCAGCATCATGCCAGAAAATTAGAATATTTGATTAAGTATACCAAAGCTATTAATCCAGCAATGTCCACTCATTGACCCACCAGAGCATGGTTATGATCTCGCCTGGATGTTATTGAAGCGAGAGTATGGACAAACCCCAATATTGGCAGCTGCATACCGAAGTAAGGCTGAAGAGTGGCCCAAGATTAATGTAGGTGATAAACTCGCCATAAGAAAATTGGCTGTGTTCATCCTCAACTGCTGTAATGCGAAAATTGGAACCTAGAAATGAACAGCATGGACAGTTTTGAGTATTAGAAATTACTGGCGTTAAAGTTACCATTGTCCTGGCAACAAAGCTGGATTGATACTGTTGGAAGGTTACGTGAAGTTGATAACCGCTCTCCAACATTGGACGATTTTGAGTCGTTTGTTGGTCATTTGTCCAGAAATGAGAATGACCCACGCGTTGCAGGTCTTGGATACCAACGTCGCGCCAACACACAATTAGCCCAGAGAAGCTATCCTACTCACTTGGTTCGACCTAAACGAGTTATGGCTTCTGTGACAAGGGAGAATAGTTCCGGTACCCAGAATACTAAACCTGAGAATTTAGCCAAGACACCACCTTGTACTTACTGTGGTCGAGAAAGCAAGCACTCCCTGTTAGAATGTTGTAGATTTGGTGCCTTATCACCAGAAGAGAGATCGTCTTTTTGTTTTAAAGGTGGACTTTGTTTTTTATGCTTGAACAGTGGGCATAGGAAACAGAACTGTATATTTCCTGAATCTGCAAGATGCACAAAGTGTCAGATATCCCACCCCACAATTCTCCATGATCACAGAAGACAATAGCAGAAATAAATGACTAATGACCCTACCGATGACTAATGTGACTTCCAGTTGTTCTTTGACAGTAACCTGTAGTACCAGTGGTGCAGAAATTGCCTCTAACGGTGATCCACTAATGGCTAATAAGATCCAAGATAACCGGTGATAGCGTGACAACTTACGCATTTGTTGATAATGTTTCTAGTGCAGAATTCGTGACACCAGATTACACAACCGCTTTGAAAGTTCGGTGTAGACCTGTGACTCTTAACGTGAAAACTTTGAACGGTGAACAAGCTGTTAAGACTGAAATTGTGACCGATATCTTACAAATTAGAGACTTGAATGGTACTCATTTTATTGACTTGCCGTCACCTTACCTGCAAGGCAAGATGCCCGTTACCGCGTCTGATGCCCCTTCTTAGAATGACAGAGTAAAAATATCAACATTTTCAAGGAATTTCTGTTCCTGATGTTCGTGAAATTCAGATCCCTAACGTTTCCATCATGATTGGAATTAACGTGCCAGCTGCGACCACACCCTTAGAACTCGCAACAGGTAAATTAGGTGAACCCTGTGGAATAAAGTCACCTCTTGGGTGGCTGTTCTATGGATTTAATAAGATAAAAGACGTGAAAGTGAACCATGTGAAAGTTAACTTTTGTAGTCTTGATGCTAGATTAGAATACTAGGTCAAACGATATTTAAACCTTGAATTTGGCGAACGTTTGTGTGAC